GAGATTGTCACGGAGGAGTGACATAAATGTTTTCAAAATTGGTTCATTCGTATGAAAAAGTGCATTGACGCTAACGGAGAATATTTTGAGAAACAATAAATTAATTTATGACCATTTATAGTATTTTTTTCTATAACTAAACTTATAGTGTGCCTCGCGTACGTATATAAGGAATGTTGACGCGAGGACGATACTTGGGTTTGATTTCCAATATTGCGTATTTTAGCACTTGTCTAGGTCCAAATTCTGATAGTTGCTTAATTTTGCTAAAATGAATTTTGCTTTATGTCGGTGTTAAATAAATATAATTAAAAAGTACCTTGATTAGTTTGTTTTACGCAATTTTTATGGAGTCAAGATTATTTTTTGCTGCCGTGACCCTACACTCGATGAGGTAATATGCCTACGGCTTGACCTTGGAGTTATATATTTTATATCTATTTTTATGTAAAGACCTTTGACCATACTTCGAAATATTCCTCTAATATATGACTTATTTATCTACCTCCGTGGCCAAACGGTCAGTATGTTGATAGAGGTCCCGGGTTTAATTCCCGAACCGGGAGAAATATTTGATGGCCTACATTTATTTCTCTTGTGAGTGTGGATGTAATTTGTGGTTATATATGTGTGTGTCCATGGCACCCGCGACACAGAATTTCACTACTGCGGGGCCATGAGTGTGTGCGTTATGTTAATTCATAATTTTCTATTTTATTATTCGTATTATTTTAGGGTCATTTTAGTAGCAGAAAGTGCAGCAGTGTGAAAGAGTTCGTCCAGTAGTACTGCCACCTTACCTATTTCTGCTGCCAAGCAGTAACGTCAGCATTACTGTGTTCCGGTTTTGAAGGTTAAGGGTGCTGGTGAAAATTACAGGCATACGGGACTTGTCCAATTATGTCTCAAGGTGACGGGCGCAGTGGTAGCTCCCTTTAAATCTTTGCAATTTAAAGCTCTGAAGGGCACTGTAACTGTTAGGGACAGGCGTGTAGCTTACCATCAGGGGCACGACTTATTCGTACCGTCACTTGATGTTTTAAATATATATATATACACACACATATATATACACGGTGTAAATTTAAGACGGGGCAGCAAGACCGGCTACCTTAATCGTTATAGTTACAGGAAAACGGTTCTAGAAGACTACCCATGAATTTTGAAGATGTTTTCATTGGTATTCACAGATTTTGAAAAAATGGTACAGTCTGCAAGATATAAGGCAATTCTTACAAAACTTTTTTGTGCCATTCGATCCCGTCTCTGGTATGGATTAATAGTCGCTATGGGACCAACTGAGGTAAGAGTACTCGAAATGTCAGAAATCGCAAAAAACTTTTTACCATACATTTTGTAGGGACATAATTATGGACATAAATATTTATATTTTTTATATATATATTTTTCAGCACCGGACCAAAGTGTTTTTCGCTGTCATTCTTTGAGATTGATTGATTTTTCATCATTAAATTAACGTAATTATTTGCCTTTTTTATTTTTCGCCGTAAATATTATGTCATTTTTTTTACTTATAGACAAAATGTTGCTATGGAACCATGCACCAATACTTTTAAGTAATTTAGAGCATCCTCTGTTGCTACTACTAAATAAACAATAGCTGATTTAGCGGAAAGAATAAAGAGCAATAAGTCTCTTTCGATCTCGGCTCCGGCAACCTATTTGCACCCTTTGGATCCGAAACCCTTGACAAAACCATCTGTACAAAATTTTATTAAAAAAATAATAGACTGTCTGGGAAAGCTAAGCCAGACAAGGGCCGCCATCTTGCCCTCCGCAATCAGCACAAGGGAAACGCTGCCAGCATCTTGGGCACCATTTTATTCATATAATTTAATCCTAGTTCTAGTTTCTACTATTTGAGCTTTTAATGTACCTTACCTGTATATTTTAACTTAATGTCTAATAAACCAGCTTACAAACAAGTGAATATCTCTAAGCTAGACTAGCTGTTGGCCGCGACTTCGTCCGCATACAATTTTTACATGCATTATGTACCAAAACACAATTGAAAAAAAAATAGCTTTTACTATTTAAATACGTAAAGTACTTTTATTATTCTGTGATATGCCTCTAAACCAATTATGACGCAAATTAGGGCAAGGGTTAAAAAATAATTACAAAGTTTCATTCACCCTTTTTAGGGATTGTTTTATAAAATTTTTTAATGTTTATTCCAACTTTCAAATTTGCAAATGTAAGGAATACTATTTTGTATAGAAAAGTTTTTATCATAATATTTTGATATAGTAACTTACCCCTACTTAGGGGCAGTTTTGAATCGATTACCATTTGTATTATAGAATATTTATACTAAGTTTCATCTTTGTAAGTTCGAGAAATACGATTTTTCATACAAACATTTTTACTCTTTTACACACTCTTTGCGGTTGAATGTCAAAAAAACCTTTCTGGGTACACTTACACTAAATAAAAGTAACACATTCTCGAGTTTTCATGTTTCTAAGACTTACAGTTTTTGCTGTGCGCACATAAGTCAAAGTCAAAGTCAAAGATTATTTATTCCATAGGTAAAATAAATTTACACTTGGTAACGTCACATTTAAGCTACTGCTCGTTCACTACGCTGACCTCCCTGAGAAGAACGAGCAAGAAACTCTAGGGATTCTCCATCTATACATTCTACATCTATAAGTGAATGGCTCCGGAACCTACCCTTTTATATTAATTACATCTATATACTATAAGTCGTATTTTCCTTGATATCCTTTACTTAAATAAGGAACTTGGAGGTTTCTAGTAACATATTGAATTTATTACTGTACACTTGCGTTAACACTGGTCGTGCCAACACGCTGTTCATTATTATGCGGATGTGTGCATCGGTACACATACAAGCTGCGATACTACTTTGTACGGAGTTACCATACTTCTCTTATTTTAGTATGTTATTACAGTCTTCATTATTTTCTATTAGGAGTATTTGTATATTATTACTGTCGTTTCTTAACTAATAATAATATTATTTTATGATACTAAGTGACAGGATGAACAAGTCATGCGCCTGATGGCAAACGACACGCCTGTCCATAACAGTTGCAGTGCCACTCAAAGCTTTAAATCGCAAGATCTGAGGTGCACTGCCACTGAGTCTGAGACATAAGTTGTCAAGTCCTATGTGCCTGTAATTTCACCAGCACCCTTACCCTTCAACACCGGAAAGCAGTAATGTTCACACTTCTGCTTGAGGCAGAAATAGGTAAGGAGGCAGTACTTCCCTGGATGAACTCTTTCACAAGGAGCTCTAATGCTGCTAAAAACCATTTATTCCAGATATAAATTCATCCATAATATTTAAATTAATACTTAAACTAGTGTTATTTTTTTAAAATGACTCTTATCAAACAAACTTATTCATACCTGATGATAGATCAACGCATCCAGCCATTGTCAGGCTAAGTGGCTACGCACTGGGGACTCCGATCTACCAGCTAATGCGCTCAGAATGCCGTTTGTACTGAGACGCATGCGACGCAGTGTTTCTCAGCAAACATGTTTGATGCGCTACAATGAGGTGGAAGTCGGAACAGCGTTCTGAACGCAATGTTATACCGCATGCGCAGTGCGCCGTATGCCCACCGCATGTAACTGACCCACAGGCTGCATGTGTAAAAGGACTGGCAATATGCTTTAAACAGCGTTACCTTCATTTCATCTGCATATCGTGCAAACCTGCGAGTCAGCATATTGCAACGGACAAGCATTATCACACAGGTCCTCGGAGACCCAGTGACCCAGATATTTGAATTGTTTTGTCTGCATTAGAGGAATACCACATACATTGATGGAAGGCACTATGGTATACGTCTTACTACCTGGTTTAAATACCATGCACTCACTCTTTAGTGCATTGTATCTGAGCCCATGAGCATAGAACTCTCAAATAAGTAGCAGCTTGCGCAAAAGCACCATGTCATCATCTTAACATAATATGATTGAAGCAAACCCCATCACTATGACAACCAATATTGGTGCTTCTGAGCTCACCCGACAGCCCGTCCATATACAGTTGAAGAGCCGTGGCGAACTCAACCCCCTGCCGAACTCCACACAATTGCATTTTTTATTTATTTATATCACGAACTATACTTAAGTTTTTTTTTGTATCTGAAACCTGTTTGAGATTTTGACTTTTGGCCGGCTAGAACGCCCAAATACCCTTATGTGCGGTGGCGTGTTGTGGCGCGAAACCGGTTCGGGTCAGCTGCTAAGCATGCACGTACAGGCTGTTCGGTAAAAATTCTTCTGAGCACGGTTCTCTTCTAAAAAACGTGTATTATTGGATCCGCCATATAGGCAATCTAATTTATATTTTGTGACATTGACATTGCACATATTTTTCATAATACTGCAATGAACCGAAATCTTTTATTACGTTTAGAAGTTTTAATTCTACTATGTTACTAGATTTTTTTTAATTTCAAGTAATTGTAAGTAACTGTTAAAACTAACATTCAATGTAATACTTTTGATCCGGATCTTTTTAATTAATGTGATTTCGGTGAGAGCACTGAGTGGACACTTCTTTGACTCATAGTGAGGCTTACAACTAGCTTGTCTTTTTATATACTTTTTTGGTTAGTTAACTTATGCGCTAAGGTTCCCTACTATATTTCTGTTTGTGCGGATCTGTAATCGACTTTCAATTTTTAAATAAACAATTTTCGTTCAATAAAATAAATAAATAAATAAATACCGCACACACTCAACATAGCCCGCACTAGGGAAACCCTGTGTCGCGGGTGCCATGGACACACACATAGACAACCACAAATTACACCCAAACTCACGAGAAAAATATATCAGCATAAGAACATAATAAATTGCTGGTAGGTTCCTCCCGTCCCGTCCCGCCTTAATATAGCATTATTAAGTCTAGCACTATGTGTCGGAGCAACCTGTATAATCATCAATTCCAACGCATGCAACAGACCTAACGTGATGGTCAACTCTAGTATAGTCCCGAGCGCTACGCAGTACGCTACTTGTTACCTCAAAATACTAAGTGACATTCACCACCTCTATACCTGCAATCTAAATACTTTAACGGTGTGTTGTATTGCCTATTTAGTCAACTAAACAATACTGTAGTATTTTACAAGAACACGATTGAAATTACAATGAAAACACCTGAAAGGAATTCCCTCCGAAATATCACGCCACCGGACTTAAATAAATTATTCCCAACGGAGGTATTTCTCTAATAACCAGCTAAGAAATTATAGAAGCACGATATTTCAATAATAAATCTTACACCTACCCGATGTTCTATTTAAAACCATTCCGAAGAACAAAATTGACACAATAAATCTTTACGAGAAGTTGCTGTCCTACAATTTCTAATTTATTAGTGTTTAAAAATAAAAGACATAAATAAAATGGTTTGAAACAGTGATTTTCTAGAGTTTTTGTATAAAAGTGTTTTCCGTTGAGAAAGTAAACCTCTTATGATTTTTTATTTGTTAAAATCCGGTGGGATGGATAAGTTCTTGGTGACTTCGAGCGACCATCACAATCTGACAGATAATCTTCGACAGGTAGTATTCTTGTTAGTACGTTTTTACGTAATGTCAGTGGTTCAGTACCGTACCTTGTGGCACTCTATATCTGTATTATCTTAGAATAATAACGCATAGAATGATAGTTTCATATCAAACGAATTGTCACAAGTGAGGCAAAAATCAAATTCATGTAGGCTAGTTTTAGTAGTAGGTTAATTTTCGGTTTTAGTGAATATTTATATAAAAATACAAGTTGAAACGCGTTACTTCCTTGTGGAATGTGATGCTAGTATCTATTTTATGTATGTCTGACATATTTTTACACTCATTTACCGCACATTTCGTCATTGTTAGCTAAAATTCTTGATCTGTTCGCGGTGCAAGTCGACCTTGAGCACTGAAGGTGCCGCCCGCTCGTGTAGGCCCATTGGGAGCGCTTCAATTTGCCTCACTTAGCGTGTGCGGACTAGGTTTCTATGCGTTAGTATTCTAAGTGTATTATGTTCAATATCAGAGCTATATCGACTGACATTGAATAAATTTCTTTCTACTTTCTTTGTTCCTTCTCTCCCTAACATTCTCTCTCTACTCCCTATGAGTTTGACTATTTGAAATGATTGTGCTCCCAATTCCAACGCAAATCAAAATATTCCACAACTCTTTGGATCCTAAACGATTTTCAATTGTATTGCGTTTGAACAACACTCCGAATCTTTCAGTGATTTCCCAATAACATGAAAAATATTGAAAAAGTACGTTTTGCCAATTGTAATCGGACCAACAAAAGACGAATCGGTTGATAATGGATGTACGCGATGAGTTTTTAATGTTTTTGACATTTTTATATAGAGCAAGAATCTTTTCCAATTAGGTGAAGTGTAAATGGATAAAAAAATGCCTGTCACAAACAAACAGATATTGACTGATATGATAATTGGCCATTTTCGATTGATTAAAGAAGGACAACAAAACAGTAATCAAGTACATCTGCAGTAAAAATCCTACTGTTAAGGTAAACTACAACTTGCTACAACCTCAACAAGAGGATGGAACTTAAATATTGATAAAACATTGTGGTTCTGGTTCGGCATTGTTACAATCCTGGGAGCAAGGGCCAATGACTAACCCGCTGACCGCTCGAGGCCTCCAAAAGGGCATCTTTATAAAATATTCCTCTCTCAAATGTAAACGAAAAATAATCTCCATTGTTACGGTGGTACTATGATTCACCACGGTAAGCTTATTATCTTAATTTACTGCCCCACAACTTTTCCATATTTTTAGCGGTACTCCATTGTTTTCTGTATTTTTAATTTCCATTGAACAAAACTTGTTTTGAAATGAAGGCATAAAATACACTCTTCCTTCAAAAATCTTTGGAACTAAAAGAACGAATATCATAGAAATGTTTCTTTACTGACGATATAAAAACAAAAGTAATGAGTACGTAACAAACATTTCTAAAGATTTTTTTTAAACAAACAAGAGACCATAGTAGCACCGCGGGTCAGAAGTTCGCCGGACCTTCCCATAAAACTTTATAGTAGCGTATGCTGCGACAATAAAACCTTTTGCCTTAAAAAACTACCTCCTTACGCCCAGGAAAACTGCTTCTCGTAAAGATAGAAAGCTGTGCTATATATCAAAAAGATATTTAAGAACATTTGGTAGTCGGCAACACGGAAACTTTGTACATTGTTCTTTCCTAACTATATTTTAATAAGTTTTTCATCTATGTGTAACCAAATTCCAATGAACTAACTAACTGATAATGAATAGTTAAGATTTATTATACACAGCAATATAAACTAGCTGATGTATAAGACTGTTCAAGCCTTAGATTTGTTGCTTCTGAGACTTTAACAAAAATTACGCGTTAATTAGAGTTGCGGGTTCAGGACAGCTCTTTCAGATACACCATGAACAAAGAATAGAGATTAGGTTATAGAATAATTCCATAAGATATACTATCAACTACGACTACTCACCTACAAAAAGTGTATGGGTCATCGAGGTACAAATACGGCCATAGATCAAGTGGGTAATCTCCACGGTCCATTACTCCGCGCCATGTTTGTATCCTGCGACAATGCGCCTCTTTATTAGCCGGTGATTAATGCTTATGGTGACTACAAGTTTAAGTTGTTCGAAGAACTCATATTCAACGTGTATTTTATAGGTAACTAAGAAGATATTATAATTAATCAAATATTTTTATAAAATTGGTAAACTGAGCAATTATCAACATCTATCATCATCTATTTGTCTGAAGAGCAATCAAATGATTAATTCTGTTTTTTACTAATAGGCGAGTATTATGCGTCCAAGGGTGATAGTAGCCTTATACGTGTTGGAAATAAGGCATGCCATTGAAGAGTTGAAGATTATAAATTGAAAAATCACTAAAGGTCAGCTCAAGGTGGCCGACAGATAGTTAATTTTTAGACCAAATGATTGTGTATTCAAAACAACTTATAACAGTCACTGAAAACTCCTGCCTTAATGTAAGCATTACCCGCATTCCTAGCATCATCATATATCTGGTCACCACACACCGTCCAGTCCCGAAATCTCTCGTTAGGACTGCCTTATCGGAAGCGCTGGAGGAAATTGTTTTGTGATATACTGCCACATATTTTCGGGATACATCTTTCCACTCCAATTCACTTGCGTTACTGAGTGTGTTCAAGATAGATATTGTAACGGGCGTTGGACGTATGTTGGTTTATGTGGAACCTTGTCAAAGACTTTCTTAAAAACTACATTATGAGTTTGCTAATTTACATACAATTATTTTTTATCATACCAAGTGAGAAGAACAAGTCGTGTGTCTGGTGCTACCACCAGACACGTGACACGCCTGTTCATAATAATTGCAGTGCCTCTCAGAGCTTTGAATCACAAACATCTGAACATCACGAACTTCAAAACCGGAACGCAGTAACGCTCACATTACCGCATGGCGGTACAAATAGACAAGGTTGGACCTTGACGAACTCTTTCACAAGGAGCTCTATGTTAGCAGTACCAAATAAACACATTAAACTTGCAATAAGTGTTTTGCACTTCGAGTTTTTAAGGAATTTATTAACAATATTGGAGTAAATAGTGATATGCTTAATATAATATATACTCTTTTGCCTACATTTGTATTTATTTTCATTGTCTTTATTATACCTACGTATTTGCTGTTCCGCAGTATATGTTTCGTTTTTGTAATATGATAGCTGTAGTAGCAACTATGTTTTGAAACGATAAGTATTGTCCATTTATTAAAAATGTAGATAAATTATTGTATCTTCAAGTCACATCCAATGCCTTTTGTTTATCTTCAACTGCTTATGTTTATTATCTCCAAATGTAGTATCTTTTTATGTTTTTGGGTTAATCTTTGCCATTTATTTAGTAATGCGTAACATTCACGGCATACTACGATAATGTGTAGTGTTACGATTTATTTTAATTTAAAGAAACGGAATTCATTTTATAAACAAATTATATATAAACTAGTATGAAATTTGAAGTATTTATAGATCTACGTATTATAATTATTATTAAAGTCCAAATATGTGAATATTGGTATGTGTGTATGTACGTATGTATGTTTGTATGTATATACATACATAACAATTTTTACACAATTGGACTATCGACGATTCAATAAATGTTTATAAACAACTCCTACTCTTTATCTCTACGCACTTCGGTCTTTTGAACAACTATCTGGGTTTGGTCTGAAATTTCCAAGATGTGTACAAGAATTGTATTACAAATGATACTGAAAATTCTGGTACAGATAAATTAGCCTTAAACATGACTTGTTGTTATAGTTTGTAGTTCTGCTTTAAATTGGAAGGGAATAGTTTGACTATGTATAACATTTTCATTACACATAAATATATAACTAAATAGCTCAGGGGAACATGTGAATGAAGATGGTACATACTTCCTTCATCATGCAAATTCAAATTCAAATTCAAAATAATCTTTATTTCATAGGTAAGCATTATTACACTTGAAATCGTCACAATGGTTAAACTCTACCGCTCATTTGTAAGGCAGATTCCCCTGAGAAGAATGAGCAAGAAACTCTAGGGGTTGCTCTTTGTAAATAACATTTACAATATTTATTTTTTTATTTGAAACATCAGAGATCGAGACTACCTCCGTGAGCTAAACGGGTTACTACCACGGATTTTTGTCATCCAAGTACGCAGAAGTTGTATAATAACCTTTAGTATAAAGTTTTTGTTTCACTATAGTTTTAAACCTCGTGAAAGGCAAATTTTGTATATCAACCGGAATCTTGTTATAGAAGCGTGTACATTGCCCCTTAAATGATTTTTTGATTTTGTGAAGACGACTATCAAGAAAAGCTAGTTTATTTCTATTCCTCGCATTAATGTTATGTCTGTCACTATTTTTCATAAATAAATTACTATTCCTTTTAACATAAATTACATTTTCATAATGTACTGTGAGGCTAATGTAAGAATGTCAATTTCCTTAAACTTATCTCTCTAAATTGCTCTAACTGCACGTTTCTGCAGGACAAAGATTCTACTGATATCGGCGGCATTACCCCAAAGCAAAATGCCGTATGTCATTAGACTGTGAAAGTAGCTGAAGTAAACCAATCTAGCGGTTTCGACGTCTGAAAGTTTCCTTATTTTTTTAATTGCGTACACTGCAGAGCCGAGTCGTTTTGATACTTCATATACACTGAATACAGTATTCTCAAATCGTATAATACAAACACAAAGTTTATGATACAAAATATTATGCAGATCAGCAGAATTTATGAATAAACTTCGCCTTAAAATAAATAGCAGTAGTGCGTAGTTATCAAAATTTTTATTTTGGAACGTTCTTACGTAATAAGTATTATATATTCCATGATAAGATGTTAATGCACAGTTTCTATTTAACCTTGATACATGTGTGTCGTTTCGTGGTACTTTTTTATTATTAAAAATCGTTCATACTAGCGTTTTAGTAAGTTTTTCCAACGTTTTTTTATGTGCAGAGAACCTTTTTTATTTAATTTTTTGATGTTGTTTTTATAAAACTTTTTGAAAGATTATTGCTTCTACCAGTTCCTTGTTGTTTTAGCGATGTTTTTATATCTTGTCGTGACATCATGTGTATGTCTGCTAGCATGGGTCTATTTACGATGGTTGCAAGTCAAGCAGTACTGGGCCAAACTAAATGTGCCTTTTATTGAACCACATCCAGTTTTGGGGAACCTCGATTTACTCATTAAAGGAAATCCAGTAAGTTTCTTCACTATTTATACAATAAATCCGTATAAAAATCTGTCTGTTGCTTGACCACAAAACAGTTAAGAATTGATTTTTCATGAAATTTGTAACCCGAATGAACAAGAACGTAACAAGATGAAAGTGTTAATTCGCAGATATTTTTCTTACTTTGCATATTCTTTTGAGATAAAAAAAATTAAAATGCATTTATTTCTCTAATTGTACACATGTCGCAAATGAGGTCTTCCCATTAAGCAAATGTATGCTTGTGTTGGGTCGCCTTGACTTTGTCCAAATGTCTCATGTTCACTACGTAATGTGATGTTTATGTGTTACTTTTTGTTTTAGGCTGATTTTATGTTGGAAATCTACAATCGATCGAATGGTTCTTTGTACACGGGCATCTGGCAATTGTGGCGGCCAACAATCGTGATTAACTGCCCCAAGATTGCAGAAAGAATCCTCATTAAAGACTTCGATAACTTTAGAGACAGATTTGCTGTAACCGGCGAAAGTGATCCTACAGGAAGTCTTAACCTGTTTTTTCTCAAGGTGCCCCACTATTGGTGTATTGTGACTGATTATTATATACACCTAGACATCTATTTAAATTCTCCCAGTTTAAGTAGTAATTGTGTGTTAATTTGCAGGAACCTAAATGGTCTTCTGTAAGACGCCACTTAACACCTGTATTCACATCTGCAAAACTGAGAATGCTGGAGGACTTAGCCGAAATTAAATCAAAACAATTGACACAAAGGATTTACCATGAACTCAGTAAAAACGAAGCCATAGATATTAAGGTAAATATAAATAACTTAAGACATTTCACAATGGACGTCATTACTTACAACTCTAGCACGATATTGTTGATATAAGCCGGCATAACTGACTATGGCCTTAACCTAGTTGAGACCCATGCCAGCAGAGAGACGCGAAGTATAATCGGTCGGGTGATAATGACGCTGAAATTTTATTTCTTCTTATATGTTTTAGAGTAGCGAAAAACCAGTCATTGTGGTGATTTTTAATGGGCCCATGTGCAGCGGTGGACTTCTTTCGGCTGATAATGAGATGGTATAATTTTATTTTTCAGGCGCTGTATACAGATTTTACGACTGATATAATCGGCACGGCATCATTCGGCATCGAAAGTGATGCCACTTTAACTGGAGATGGTCCGCTGAGAAAGGTTACGAAGGAGTTATCGCAATTTAGCTTGTACAGAAAGTTGGCTTGGGGCTGCTATTTCCTTTTACCTGAATATGTTGATATGTTTGGGTGAGTACCAGCTTAACAATAAATAGATTAAGAGTCCATGAGTAAAATACAAAAGATATATGTATTTATGTTCCTTTACAAGCAATTATGTAATTCCAACGTCATGCAATTTAACGTAGTATTTTATGCAATCGCTGCATAATAAGGGTTTTTAAAGTCGAGCTCCGTGCAGGTACGAGATTATAAGACCTAATTACATTATGATTGCATACAATACTTTTTCTACGAGTAAATTAAAATAAAGAAATACATAATACAATGTAATATTGAAAGATAATTTGTTAATAATCCACGACAACAAATTCAAACGTAAGCCAAACAAACGCTACAAAACCAATCAGGAAGCGTTTGAATAGCGTCATAGTTGATATTTTATATTGTTTTCAACTCAGACCCTTTAAATTAGCAAAATCACGACGTTCTTTTTTTAACCTTTTCAGTTCAGTAGTGAGTACCATAGGTATAGGTTCGATACTAAAAGAAATTATAATTAACAGATTAAAGTACAGGACAAGAAAAAGCTTGTTTAAAAGTAAATTATTATAATACCGAATTCATTTACAATTTTTCCTCGTTACTAATAAAATTATCTTTGACAGATTCACCTTTTTCCCAAAATCAACAAACGCGTACTTTCTGAAAATTTTTCACGAAGCAGTTCAATTGAGAGGAGGGTTCGACCACGCCCCTAAAGAAAACAAAGACCTTCTGGATGCTCTAATCAAAATGAAATACGATGCTGCCACAAAAAATGAAGGTACCATTGTCTTTCCAGGTATTTTTCATTTGCCCTAAGATGGTGTGAACGACTATCCTGTCAATGATTTGACTAGAAGACAGCTTTGTTTCTCAGAACGGTTTTATTTTATTTTTCTCAGCTTTACTTGACTCATATTTCAATAGCTAGTCCACTCCAAACAAACTTGAGATTATTACCTCTCCCGTTTGACATTTAGAGATTCATTATTTGAATGATACGTTAATGAAAATAAAGTATAAAAGCAATGGTAGCTCTGTGGGAGAACTGATGCTACTTAAATGAGTTCGAATCCCTGTGACGTCAAATGAAATCTTAAAACTTTAATTTGTAAGTTACATAAGAGTTCCCACCCAAGGATTGGGAAGCGTCCAAGGAAAACGTCTCTTCACACGACGCTCATTGACAGACTATAGACTAAACTCTCACTTCAAAGGACCTGTGCTTAGTAGTCCGATGTATAATGGGTTGTAGCAGCGACAACGATATTTGGAATAAGTAAACAAAGTGAGAAGGCATAAAGTGGTACTTTTCCGTCTGAATGCGGAATAATACAGATAAAAATAAAAACAATGAATTTGCTAAATTGATATCAGATCATGTGTAATAGTTTCTAATAGCGACCAGTAAAGGTGATTTACCATTTTATTTACAAAAGAAATCGTAAAGCTTAACTTCCATTAAGTTTTCTATTATTAACAAAACCACCTTACGCATGCGTAAATACAAAAATCCGTAACTTGTCATTAAATTGTTACGAAATATTGTAATATCTTGGTAATATATATATATATAGAAATATATAAGCACTTTGCTATGACTTGTTTTTGAAACGGTAATACATAAAATTGCCAGAAATGGTTGTTGTTGTACAAAATTAAGTAAAATACGAGTGTTATAAGTTCCTTTTTTGATTATTATTCCTTTACTTAAACTTAGAATTCTTGGGAATCTGTGGGCGTCGTCTTTGTGACTTCGTTACCCCTTTCAGCTACGTGCTTACAAATCTTACGCACACATGCACATATTTGGGATTCTCAAAATAAAGGGCTCGCACACAATGACAGATTTAATCATAATTTTGAGGGAAATTATCTATTGTTTTTCTGTATTTCGAGCAAATTATAAATTTAAAAACAAAAGTCAAAGTTAAATAACTTTGTGAATAGACTAAATATTGAATCAAATATTGTATTACATAATCAAATCATATGTTTTCGTTTAGAAATGGGTGAAGACCTTCTGGTGGCACAAGCTGCGGTTTTCCTTCAAGGTGGCTTTGAAACGACCGCTTCGAATCTTACATTTCTCTCCGTTGAACTTGCTCACAACCCAAAAGTTCAGGTAAACTTTCAATATGTAGGTACCGTTACGTATTTTTTAAAATAAAATTTTAAAATATATTAAGCTTTGTGTAATTTCAGGAAAAGTTGTACCAAGAACTGCTCGCAGCAAAACAAAAACACGGAAAACTGGATGCAAAAAATCTCTCTGAATTAAAATATCTCAACAGTATTATCAAAGGTAAAGTAGTACTGAAGTAATATTTAAAGTTGTCTATAAAGTACAGCTACAATACTGTCATTATTTGCTTGTTACTGTCAGTATTTGATGTTTTATATCATTGCAACACGCATTCTAACAAATTTCTAATTTCGTATAACGTTCATTTATTTAATGTGTTATCTACTACTGTATAGATCATAGAGTATACCAGAAATTTTACTTTTTTTTTCATGAGACCAAGTGACAGGACTAACACGTCGTGCGCCTGGTGTTAGCAGCTGCAGTGACACTCAGTGCTTTGAATTGCAAAGATCTGAGGAACACTGCCACTGCACCTGTGACATAAGTTGACAGTCTCATGTACCTGTGATTTTACCAGCATCCTTACTCTTCAAAACCGGAACGCAGTAATGCTCACATTACCTACTGCTTGGCAGAAATAGGTAAGGTGGCACTATTTCCCTGGACAACCTCTATCACAAGTAAGGTCCATTTTGAATTGTACACGACGTTCATATTAGGTACACGTGAAAACAATCCGAAAATGTTGAAACGAGATTGAAGGATTTACTGCTGCCACAATAAAATGTTGTGATCCTGTATAACACCATTCTTGTGAATCATACTTCTTTATCATACGAATAGTTAATTAGTCTATAACAACACGGCATTTTGCTTTGGGGTAATGCTGCCGATATCAATAGAATCTTTGTCCTACAGAAACGTTCGGTTGGGGCAATTTACAATCTGGGCCCCAGAGTATCTTTGAGAGATAAGTTTAAGGAAATTAACATTCTTACACTAGCCTCACAGTACATTTATGAAAATGTAATTTATGATAAGAGGAATAGTAATTTCTTTATGAAAAATAGTCACAGACAATGTTAATTAATACGAGGAAGAAAGATAAACTAGCTATTCTTGATAGTCGTCTTCACAAAGTTAAAAAATCATTTATTCTATAACAAGATTCCGGTTGATATGCAAAATTTGCCTTTCACGAGGTTTAAAACTATAGTGAAACAAAAACTTTATACTAAAGGTTATTATACAACTTCTGCGTACTTGGATGACAAAAATCCATGGTAGTAACCCTAATGTCTAAATCTCTAATGTCTCAAAACAAAAACTAAAATATATATTCTAAATATTGATTGTGTACAAATATTATTTATAAAGAGCAACCCCTACAGTTTCTTGCTCATTCTTCTCAGAGGAAAGCCTTACGAATGAGCGGTAGAGTTTAACCATTGTGACAATTTCAAGTGTAATAATAATGCTTACCTATGAAATAAAGATTATTTTGAATTTGACATGTATGAGTAAATAATTTCTGTCTATATTTTGCTATTTCTTTCACAGAAACTCTAAGAAAGTATCCAATTACTCCGTCCCTAATTCGAGTTCCAACCAAAAACTACAAGATAGATGACAAATTGACAATTGAAGCTGGAACACCGGTCCTTATTAATTTGTATTCTATGCATGTGAATCCCAAATATTATTCAGATCCAATGACATTTGACCCAGAAAGATTTAATGGCAATGAAGAGAGAATATTGATGGCTTTTGGACAAGGCCCACGAAAATGCATAGGTAAGAAGGTCTATCTTTTAACAATGTTTACGTCGGCAATTTGTTTGCTGTATACCTATTTTAAACGATTCTCCAGGGACGAATACTAACCAGGTGAAGTACGCGCAAATTGCGGAGAGCTTTACCTTTTCTACGACCCATCTTTATTCTATTATTTTAAGTGTATTTGCATTTCTTTTTTATATATTACCTTCTTAATTAAAGGTGATTCCCTATTATGCATTATAATTGAGGATCTCAGCGCGAAAATGCCTTAACTCCATAAAAGGGATACAGAATTACCCAAAATTATTTATATACAGTTTTATATACAGTAATCTTAACTGATCAAAATATATTTTTTATACATAAAAATAGTATCCAAGTGAATAATAATTATGTAAGTACTTAGAATCATTTATAATGATATCGATACATAAAATATTTAATGTGGGTTACACCACTTTAGCGCTAATAGACTCAATTATAGTCTACACGATTGAATGAGTAGATTGGTAGGTTAGTATTGCATTCTGCAAACAATATTTGTCATCAAATCGAACAGTTGCATCCGTGCCTACACAATACTACGAATTTCAGGTGAAAGATTTGCCTACCAGCAGATCCGCTACGCCGTAGCAGCTATATTTCTCAACTTCGAGCTACGCCCTCGAGCTGGCTCGCCGAAGTCCTGTGATATCAAATTCGCGAAACATTCAACTTTAATCATTCCTGCTGATGTGTTGACTGTTGATTTTGTGCCCAGAAAATAAACACGAAATCATTATACTTTTCAGTTATTATTTCGTGTTCTAATCTAGTAACTCGCTCGTCCTTTAAGTTATTGGTGGTGACACAGGACTCTTATCATCCCATCACTCTGTCCTCTGTCGCCCAAGTCATCACTCACTGTGCGCTCACGATTGTTTCCGTTTTTTGCCAAATTGTTTGCCAAATGTAAATTATCAAGAGAATGCTACTGAAAACGTTGCTCTTTCCTTCAATTTAAAATACAATATCTGGAATATTTTCATAATATATTCATAATGCACACTTACATTAGAATAAAAAAAATAAATAAATTATGGAACCTAAAAACTAAGAGCCAAAGAATAGTGCCCGTAAATTCGGCACCGCGCTCCCGTATTCGAATATGAAACATTCAAACAGCCGCTGAGAAGTGAATCAAAATTCATGTTCATAATTGTATTACGTGTGACTATGTTGTGTTGTGTGCCTTGTCAATATGTCAATAGGCAATCAGGGCAATTAAACGTGACGGCAACAGGACGGAAACGTGACGGTCCGTCTGTCCACAGGGACGTGCCGTAATTGCATGACGTGTTGCAAAAACGGAATGTATAGTATTACTTACAAGCATTACTAATATTACTAATAACTTTTTCATTTCATAAAGTAATAAACTTTCTAGATTTTAGTTTTTTTATCGCATAAAAATATGGCGAAATCTAACGCAGACGAAAACATATATTGCCGCAATTCAAATTTGTGGAATTGAAAAGACGCGATTGGAAAATTAATAATATATACTGAATTAAACTAATATATATATTATAATATATTCTCGTTTGTATACGGATAATTAAGTTTTTTATAATAAAAAGTGACTAGATAGACAAGTGGTGCGCCTGGTGGTTAAACGACACGCCTATCCACAACAGTTGCAGCGCCACTCAGAGCTTTACATTGCAAAGATCTTAGGGGCACAGCCGCTGTGCCCGTCACCCTGAGACATAAGTTTACAATTTCCATGTGCAGGTAATTTCACCAGCACCCTCATTCTTCCAAACCGGCACACGGTAATGCTGACATTATTGTTTGGCGGCAGAAATAGGTAAGCAGCGAAGACTCGAATTTAATTTCTAAGTTACGTACATCTGGCAATGACCTCTCGCTAGTGATAAAGAAAACATTGTAATAAACCTATACACAACATTCCCCACCCGCATAACCCTCCCTATACCCGTACCCAGAAATGAGACGTACAAGAGGTTGACGATGATGATTATTTAGTTCCACATTTATTTGCGTTTTTATTGGGTATGTAAAAAATGGCCGAAGTGCAAAATGTCATGAATACAACAACGTTTATTTAATGAGACAAAATAATAATTTTCGACATTTTTATAAATGTAAATGCTACAAAAGAGGTTCGTCCGCACAACAATGAGAAACTTTGTGGCACCTACTGCTGACTAACACCGAACAAAGTATTTTCAATATCGTTTCCTGTTTAAATGTTGGTCTGCCGGTTCCAATACGAATTTAACCTTTCCTAATATCTTTTATCAAATTTTCATAATGAAGGTACGAAAGTTAAGTTCAAATTGTGCATCATTACTATTACTAACCCGTATACTACAACTAGGCATGCAACTCCTCCAGCAAGAGGGTTTTTAAGTAGTGTTATTTTTTACTACATGCGAAACCAGTTAGTTTGGTTGGTGATAACGGGTTTTGAAACTATTTATTTCGATAACTAGGTATTGGCCAACGACCACTCAGCTTTCGAATATACGTTTTAACTTTATTGTTGACAAGTGTTTGAAAGGAATTAATTTTAATGTAAAGAAGGAAGCAAACGAGCAGACGAACCACTTGATTGGAGGTCATCTTTGCCCATGAGCATTTGTAACATCAGATGAGCTGCTTATGCATTGCTAGCCTTTGGAAATCCTGTTAATACGCTTTTTGAAGAACCCCATGTCATAGCGCAAAGGAAATACCTCAGGACGAAGATCGTTCCACATCTTGCAGGTTCGAGGAAGGAACGAACGAGATGCCCGCGGGGTCTTGCAATGCCAGACATTTAAGGTGTGGGGATCGACTCTACTCCTTTGGCGGGAGGTGTGATGTTGGAAACGAGACAATGGCATCAGGTTGACAAGTTCCTCAGAGCACTTCCCATTATAAAGACTGTAGAACACACATAAAGAGCCAACGTCTCTCCGTAGGCTAAGGGGATCCATACGTCTGCGAGTTTGGGATCATCGACAATACGAACAGCCCTACGTTCGATAGAGTCAAGTGGGTCAATGGGCAGTATAATACTTTTCTCATGATGTTAAGGCGTTCCTGGCAACTTCAGTGCGAGTTTTAACTACACTTCCACCATCCGAATATTCAGTTAGCGACGTGCCGAGATATTTGTATTTGCAAACCCTCTCACGACTGTTTGTACGGTGTCTTCACACTACAAACAAATTACCAATTTTAACAAACAATAAATTGTTAGTATGCAAAGGCGACCTTATCCAATAAAGGAACTAACCTATGGACAACTGAAAGGAAAGTTGGCTCCCGAGTTGGCAATAAAAAATAAATAAAGAAATTTAAAGCCTAATATTAATATACTAATTGATGTTCAATTATTTTTTGTGAAATTACTCCACTAGTTTGTTATAATTGTTAATACAAAGATCGAACACTCAGAAAAAATTCCTTCGATCCGGTTGGATCCGCCGGATCTCGCCAGGACTGGTAACTGTAAAGGTACTAACTGGGTGATAAATCTGTCATAGATTTCTCATAGATGGCGCTACGACTAAAAAGTCGTTGAAAGACCAAGTAAAAAGACCCGACGCAAGCACATAGAAAAATTCGTGAGCTCGGTTGTGTCGTTCCGTGGCTTAGTTGGTATAGCGTCTGGCACGGTATGCAAGAAGACGTCGGTTCGAATCCGACCGGATCGAAGGAATTTTTTCTGAGTGTTTTTTCTGAGTGTTCGATCTTTGTATTAATAATTATAACAAGTCTTATAATAATATTAAGTAAAATCTATAATCAAATAGTATTTGGTAAAATCAAATAATAATAAATCAAATAATCCCACGACTTTCAAAGGAAAGAACCTCTGAAAGCTTGAACCGAAGATGGCTGTCTGACCTGGACTGAGAGAAAGTTCCACATACGATCAGCATTCACTATTAATGAATACGAATATTTTTCGAACTGTCTTATGGACAGACGCGAAACAAATTAGTATCGGAACACAGGCGGTTTATCGCTAGGCTATATATGTAAGGTATACAAATATGAGTCAATAATTTATAAATAAAATGACAACCTCGGTGGCCCACAGATTAGCACTTTGGGCGCTAGATGAGAAGATCCCGGGTTCTATCCCCGGTAGGATCAATTTGGGAACGCACAGATTTACACACACACATATGATATTTTACAAAAGTTTCTTTCATTATAAATACTACGTAGGCAGGTAATTTACAATTTCAGACCGATACTGACAGCAAAGAAAATGTTTGTATTTGTTTAAGCTGATTTGCCATCTGAGTGCTTATATGTAGATGGTAGGTACCTCATAAAATGTCTCGCCAAATAGTGTTGCCACACAATTACGAAGTACATTGTCGATTAGAATATAATAGAATAGAATAGAATATAATAGAAAGATTACAGTTTTAAATATCGCAGCTTCACGTGCAGGCACAGATTACTTAATGGTTACTACGGACAGATACATAACTTGCATACAAAATTAAAAATACCTATGCCATATTAGCCTACTAAATCTGACTCATGACACCAGGCGCCCAGTACGAGGAAAAAGGAACCTAAGCATGCGCTCAGAGAGGTGAAAATAACGTTGCTCGCCATGTGCAGTCGTGCGTAGCCGTATACTCATAAATGAAAGATGTATGAGCGCTTGCGTCCATGTAGGATTTCGTCAAAAATCAAAACATAATTAGATTTTATTCTTCAATTCTTCTTTTAATTTATTCTTCTTCAAACAATTTCCCCCAAGTGACTTTAACGAATTAATATTTCACGAAAACATCAAATTCACGCGTTGTAAAATTTATTCTTTTATTTAGATTAAGAGCGGATGTCGAAATACTGATCATCAAAGCAATTAAATAAAAAATATTGGAAAATGTTCCATTGTCCACACTATCGATATAGTAGTACAACACTATTGCCTGGAAATGACACTATTTGCATAAGATCTAGAAAACGTAGAAATTTCTGGAACATTCGGTCTTGTTTACTCGTCAAGCTGCGAAAACATCTGACAGAGTACAAAATAAATATTAGCTTCGATATATCCGGCAAGAAGTCAATTGTTTTGTTATCATGGGTCTCAAAGCTAAATAAAGTCTTTTAGACATTTCATCATCATTTAATATTGTGTCAAGCCATACACGTTCCACTCCTGGGCGCGTCTCTCATAGTAAATAAAAATAACAATCTAACTTTTACATAATATAATTGATAGGTCTAAACATTTTCTAAACAAAACTTAACAGCACTATTACTTTTCAATATTAAGCAAATAAGTGGAAAAGTGAAAAAAATCCAGTAACTTTACTCTCTGTCCATTCCTGTTTTAGGCATCATATTTCTTTACTCATAATATCCCATCAGTCAGTGGAACAACAACACAGACACTTATGTACGCCATTATGTGTTGGAGAAACGCAATATTCATAATATCGACTCGCAGTGACTTTGATCTCAGAATATGAAGCAAAAAATTATTAGCCGAAAGATTCCTCGTATAAATCATTAGGTATTATCATAAATAAATATTCAGAGGAGTTGGTATTAAATTTCATCCTGCGGCGATGTTGGCTGAAGGCCAAGTCCCTCGATTGACTCGCGCAGAGAACTAGAATGGACTGGATGAACGTTAGAGAAAAAAAGGAACGATAGAATTAGGAGACAGCCTTATTTCCGGCGTTAAGTGGCTAAGTCGGTAAGGCTTGACTGGTACAGGAAGATAATCCTGAAAACACTTTTAATT